CGGCTGGAGCTCGGTGCCAATCTTTGGCGACACACGATCGGTCATCGCTGCGGCCCAGTCGCTGCTCTCGATCGCGAGCTGCGTCGCCGGCACGATCGCGAGGCCCTCTGCCACCTTGTAGTTGGCCAAGACTTGCTGCGCTTGGTGCTGGCACAGCGGCCACCCAAGGTACTCGTACATTGTCTTGACGCGCAGCAGCGGCGCATGATACGTGGGCAGCTCCACCGACATGAACGGCAAGAGCTGCTTCATCGCGTGTAGTCGGTTGAGAATGCGCTCGTAGCTCGCGCTGTCCACGGGCTTGCTGGCCAGCGGCGACGCCGCCTTGGCTCGTGTGGCCCGCGCCGACTTGCGCGCCGGTGCCGAGGCCAGGCCACCCATCCCCAGCCACGATTTTAGGGGCCGGAGCTGGGCAGGGCTGGTGCGGGCCGTGGTATAAAAACATGGAGTCCTTCCATTCATCATTTTGAAATGGAAGAGGGCGGGAAAACTGTGCACTGGCACAAAGACGTCTGCATCGAATCGACGTGCCGTTGCGGCAAGTCCTCCGTTGCTTTGCTCATCGACTGGCTCACAGAAGATGCGGGCGACGGCTTCCTCAACTATACGCGATGGAAGGGCGGCAGCAAGAAGAAGGACGGCAAGAACAGGGTCGGGATCGCAGGCGAGATCTCCTCCATCCTCATCAAGCACGGCCTCCACCGCACCGTCTCTTTGTACAAGCGTGGGCCGAGATATCTGTTGAGAGCGACTTTGGCGTACGTCGATGCCAGCTCGGTCGGTACGGCGCTTGCAGTAAGGAGACCAAGGATGAAGGTCTCGTCAGCTTCGTTGCGTCGTTCTTCCGCCGAGTCCTCGTCGTCTTGGTCAAGTGGCTCGGTTGCGTCGTCGAGTGTGCATCGGCCAAGGTGCATGTTTTCTGTGATGCGCCACATGCAGTCGGCCAAGGGCAGGTCGCGGAGGATGGTTTGTCGTTCAGAGGTTCGGGGCATCGCGCGAATCAAGATAAAAACTGAGAGGTGTGACCACGTCCTAACTTTGAAACCCCCTTGGACTACGAGCCCGTGGCTGGCGCTGGCCATTGGAACGATCGATTTTGATTGGACAAAAATAAATGGCCAGCCCCACAACACAGCCCGTTTTAACTTTGAAACCCCCTAATATATGAGGGGCGTGGGGTGGGCCTTGACCCCCTGGGTGACCAGGGGTCCATATAAAACACCCTGGTTGCTACCACATTCTGGCCAACCCATTGGCTATAATAAAAGCTATTCATTGGTCTAAGCCAATCGCATTGCGCGAAGTATGTCCAGTGAAGTGCGATTTTATTGTCCAATTTAAGTGCTCTCCATGTGGGACATTATACTTGATTATGTAACAATTTAGTGCGACGCACTTATAAGAGCATATAGGGTACATAGGGCATTTCCGCACCTAATCGCAATTGGCTGCATTTGGATTGAAAAAGCGCGCGAAAACTGCAGCAAGCGCCAACGCGCCGTCGTCGCAATGCTATTAGTTAACACTTCGTATTCGATACAAAAGCTCCAACCAGCTCACCCTGTTATATGTACACAAGTTCGACACCAACAACACTAACGAGCAGGTGGCGGTACAAAGTCAAGCCATTGTCCGACGCGCGTCGTGGCCGCAAGTGATCCCGCTTGTCCCTCCTCTCGTATGGACAAATAACTACTTGCAGGCGTCGACATGACGTCGCAGTTGCGCAATAAGTACTTGGTCGTCCAGTCAAGTCTTTTCCACGCTACAATCTGAATCTGAAAACTCGCGATCGTTCTTTGGTCGACTTGCGCATCATGCATCGTTGAAGAGCTCTCGGATGGAATACACGCTGTCTTGCAGAAGCGCGTGCACTCTCGCCGCCATCGCTGCATCTCTCGCATATGCCTCGACGAGGTGCGCGGCCGGTCGTCCCCGGTGGTGGGGCGGTCGCCGCTTGACGAGGCGCGGCTCGCTGTCGTTGTCGTCGCCCTCGTCCGTGGATACCCACTCAAAGTGCGTGCGGTACCGGCGGATGATCGCATGGATCCGAGGGCACGCGTCAAAAGGCAGCTGCATCTCGGCCACGTCCGGCGCGAGCAAGAAGACCGCAAACGCCTTGTACTGGCTGCAGCAGTTGGGCGCCTCGTCGAGCGTGATGAATGGCAGTGCGTAGTGGTTGTCGCTATCTCGCAAGTACGAGACCGTGTCGAGATAGGCGGTGGCGAGCACTGCAAAAGCGGGCGACGCCTTCTCCATGCGTACGACGACCGGGTAGAGTATCTCGCGCGCCTCGTCGGGGTCGGTCAAATGCGAGGCGATGGCGTTGGCGACCGCCTCGGCTTTTCCGGTGCAGTATTCGCACACGAAATGCAAGGTGTCCAAAAGAGGCTTGAGCTTCGAGTGCGTCGTGTGGGCGGTCGCCTCTGACGCTGCTACCGCGGCGTAGTAGTGAACCACCGCGTGGACCGGCTCGGTGAACTCTGCGGCGTGACTCAACATAGGTTACGAGACCGTTCATCTCGACGGACTCGCGATAAAGCGCCTGCTGCAACTTGATGACGCGGTGGCTGCCATCGGTCGTGGGTTCGAGCACGAGCAAATCTCGGTGCGCGGCGACCGTCGCCTCGATCGGCGGGTGCAAGTCACTGTGCAATACCATCACGCCGTCGTCGTCAGGTGAGAGCAAAAAGGTGCCAAACTCGACGCAGAGCGCACAGCACGGCGGCGAGAGCGCAATGAACGGGAGCGCGTACGGCGCGTCACCATCGCGCAAGTGTACCATGGAGTCGACAAACGCGTTGGCAAGCGGAACAAACGCAGGAGACGCAACGTCGATGTGCATGGCGACGGGGAAGAGCGTCTCGACGGCCAAATCGATCTCCGTACCCATACTGGCGAGGATGCGGCGGGCCAGCTCCACGACGTTCGCAGCGCTGCTGTGCTTGCCAACAAAGCCGACGGCGTCCAACATGATTCATGGTGTGGTGTTTACTACACTCGATCCCAAGCACTGTTTAAAACATCTATCCATGTCCAGTCCGGATAAGTGACCGACCATCGTCAGGCAGTTGG